CTACTCTTCCTTTACCACATTAACAAATTATTGGTATATTTGGTCTGATGAAGTTAGAAGCAAAAGTATCTAGTAGCACAGTGACTCATATTTATGTTCAAAACAATTATAAACATTTAATGAACATTATTGTTTTTAATTGCCAAAAAATAGTGTAAGCCATGATGCTGTAGTATGAGCTAGAGTCAGTTTTTAAGTCATGCCAAGCTCAAAATATAGACTTCAGTGGCTGAATTATTATCTTGATTTGTTTGTTGTGATGCAGAGGTGTTGTTAAGGTTAATGATGATGCGTCTAGCAGTGAATTTACGCTGCTAGGACATCTGCAGGGAATTGTAGTCGACGGGATATTAACAAGCAAGGCGACATATCTTACACAAGCTTAACATCACCACTCTTTAGTAGTTGATGAGACGCAGATGCAGAAAATCCTTGAAGTATGTGATGGGAACCAGCAGTCCAAAAGTGTGTATGTGTGTGTGTGTGTGTGTGGAGGCAACAGCAGCAGTCACACACCTGCTCAACACATACCTCTCAAACTAATCTTTAACCATACGATCACAAGTAATTGACATTATCAAGTACAGTTTATCTAATAAATGAACGGTATTCACTGGTACAGAGCGGCAGGACGCTATCTCGCCGAGAAAGAACGAATTATGGTGGAGAAGCAGTCGACACAAGGGTAGACCCCAGCCAGCCACCTGTGTCTCCATGGTAACGTGTACCACCCCACTCACTGCTTCACATGCTTCTGACGTACATATCTTCCCTTAAATAAAACAAATAAGTTTTTTTTAGGCTTTGGTTATATACAATTTTTTTTTGTACGTTGATCTTAATGCCACACATGTTATGGCCACTTAAAAAGATACAGTACGTATATTTAACCTAAGATAACCCAAGTCAAACACTGACTTATTTCCTCTGTATTTTTATCTGAAAGACGTCTCGCCCACCAGGAACATTACCAGTCTAATACATACATGAAAGAGGAGACTTGTACATGACGAGTCACAGACTTACACTTCACACTCATAAAAGTCACTTCTCTCATGTCTCTGTATTCGACTGGAGTATACCTGGAGAGGGTTTCGGGGGTCAACGCCCCCGCGGCTCGGTCTGAGACCAGACCTCGTGATGGATCAGGGTCTGATCAACCAAGCTGTTATTGATGACCACTCATAAACTAACATACGAACCACAGCCCGGCTGGTCAGGTACTGACTGTAAGTGCCTGTCCAGTGCCTTCTTGAAGACAGCCAGGGGTCTCTTGGTAATCCCCCTTATGTATGCTGGGAGGCAGTTGAATAATCTTGGGCCCCGGACATTTATTGTGTCGTCTCTCAGTGTACTCGTGGCGCCACTGCTTTTCATTGGGGAAATGTTACATCTCCTGCCGAGTCTTTTACTTTCATAGGGAGTGATATTCGCTCCCTATGAGGGTTAGTCACCCTCTAGGATTTTTCAAGTGTATATTATCATGTATCTCTCTTGCCTACGTTCCACGGAATACAAATCTAGGGACTTCAACCGCCTAGTGGTGGGCGAAACGTGTCTTGGACAAATAGACACAAATGTCTTATTCAGGTTATTACAAATGTTTTATTCAGGTTAGTTAACCAGCCTTAAAATCTATGGATCACTGAAAGGGTCATTAAGGCTGCCTGTACCACCAGTCAAGAATACTTTAATACTCTAAAATGAGGATTAAAATAAACTTAGTGCATATACACTGAGATATACACCTCTCAGTATATATAAACTACTCTCTTATTCATCAGCCTGTCAGTACTTACAGTGTATTCACGTGACTTCATCAATTTCCTGGTGAGTCACGTTGGTTGCTTCTGATGCTGCGCCAGTATAAAAGGCTTCACAAATTATTTTGAATAATTTACATTTCATTCATTTCAACAAAAAAAAATAATATGGTTTACATGTGGTAAATTTCATAACAAATGTTATTTTGTATTTAGATTTGCCGTTAAATAAAGGCAAGAAACCTACTTCTGGAAGGACCAGGAATTTATTATTGTTGTTGTGTGTAACCTAACATGTACAGACACACTACTTGTAAGTTTATTTAGGTAAGTAAGATTATTTAGGTACAGGTACACGTAAGTACAATTATCACACAGTGTAAATTACCTAAGATAACTCAAAAAGTCCACATATATACAGTTATTATTACGTTATACGTGGAGTATACCTGGAGAGGGTTTCTGGGGTCAATACCTCCGCGACCCGGTCTAGAGGATCAGGGTCTGATCAACCAGGCTGTTACTATTAGCCGCACGTAAACCGACGTACGAGCCACAGCCAGGCTGATCAAGTACTGACTTTAGATACCTGTCCAAAGTCTTCTTGAAGACGCCAGGGGTCTATTGGTAATCTCCCTTATGTATGCTGGGAGGCAGTTGAACAGTCTTGGGCTCCTGATACTTATTGTCTTGTCTCTTATCGTGCTAGTGACACCCCTGCTTTTCATTAGGGCAAGGTTGCATCGCCTGCTGAGTCTTTTGCTTTCACAGGGAATAATTTTCGTGTGCAAGTTTGGTACTAATCCCTCTATGATTTTTCAAAATGTATATACTCATGTATCTCTCTCGCCTGCGTTCCAGAGAATACAGGTCGAGGAACTTCAACATTATTATACATAATAACATATGCAAGAATCGCGAACAAGTGATAGAAGATGCAAAGCAACCACAGGGGAGTTGAATAATAGCTATAGACCTTTCGTGTTGCAATCAGCACATCATCAGCAGCTTGCAAAGTTGCAGAAATGAATAAGAATTTTCAGCAAATTCTTTCCAAGGGACGCTTGCAACGAATCTGCTGAGATTTCTTACTCATTTCTGCAACATTACAAGCTCACGATGTGTTGATTGCAATATGAAAGGCTTAAAACTATTATTCAACTTTCCATGTTATTATTTTGCATAGTAACATATATGTAAATTATCTAGGATAACCCTAGCAGTAAGTTACAGTAAAAATCAGTCATGATTATTAAAAATAATAATAATAATAATAATAATAATAATAATAATAATAATCTTCATTTTTAAAAGTACATGTACAAGGCATACAGACCATAGCTGACATCAGTGACGTATTGAGAAAGCCCCTTGTTATGCAGAGCATTTCGGACAGATTAGGTCAGTTTTGTCCCAGGATGCGACCCACACCAGTCGACTAACACCCAGACACCTATTTAACTGATGAGGGAAAAGGGACAACAGGTGCCTTAAGGAAACACATCCTAATATTTCCAGCCGTACCGAAGATCGAACTACGGACCTCAGTGTGTGAGCTAAGTGCGCTACCAACCAAGCTACCTTTAATAACTTTAAATCTTGGGATGTATGTAGAGATGAAAATACCAAGTAGGTCTGGAGTATACCTGGAGAGTTTCGGGGGTCAACGCCCCCGAGGCCCGGTCTGTGACCAGGCCTCATGGTGGATCAGGGCCTGATCAACCAGGCTGTTACTGTTGGCCACACGCAAACCGACGTTCGAGCCACAGCCTGGCTGGTCAGGTACTGACTTTAGGTGCCTGTCCAGCGCTTTCTTGAAGACAGTCAGGGGTCTATTGGTAATCCCCCTTATGTATGCTGGGAGGCAGTTGAACAGTCTTGGGCCCCTGACACTTATTGTATGGTCTCTTAACGTGCTAGGGACACCCCTGCTTTTCATTGGGGGATGTTGCATCGTCTGCCAAGTCTTTTGCTTTCGTAGTGAGTGATTTTCGTGTGCAAGTTCGGTACTAGTCCCTCTAGGATTTTCCAGGTGTATATAATCATGTATCTCTCCCGCCTGCGTTCCAGGGAATACAGGTTCAGGAACCTCAAGCGCTCCCAGTAATCGAGGTGTTTTATCTCCGTTATGCGTGCCGTGAAGGTTCTCTGTACATTTTCTAGGTCAGCACTTTCACCTGCCTTGAAAGGTGCTGTTAGTGTGCAGCAATATTCCAGCCTAGATAGAACAAGTGACCTGAAGAGTGTCATCATGGGCTTGGCATCCCTAGTTTTGAAGGTTCTCATTATCCATCCTGTCATTTTTCTAGCAGATGTGATTGATACAATGTTATGGTCTTCGAAAGTGAGATCCTCTGACATTATCACTCTCAAGTCTTGTACATTAGTTTTTCGTTCTATTGTTTGGTTGGAATTTGTTTTATACTCCGATATAGTTTTAATTTCCTCGCGTTTTCCATATCGGAGTAATTGAAATTTGAGCTTCATATTGTTTTCTGCGGCCCATTTAAAGATTTGGTTGATGTCCGCCTGGAGTCTTGCAGTGTCTTCAGTGGAGGACATGGTCATGCATATTTGGGTGTCATCCTCAAATGAAGACACAGTGCTGTGGCTGACATCCCTATCTATGTCAGATATGAGGATGAGGACGAGGGTCTGGGTTCGATTCTCAGCCAGAGTAGAAATATTGGACTAAGTAAGTAAGTAAGTAAGTTTATTCAGGTATACACAAATACAGTTACATAGAATTATCATACATAGCAGCATATGTGTAGAGAACCTAGGATAACCCAAAAAAGTCAGACAGAGTGACTTATTTCCACCTGTTGTCTATGTTTCCCATCAGTAAAATGGGTACCTGGGTGTTAGTGGACTGGTGTGGGTCGCATCCTGGGACACTGACCTAATTTGCCCGAAATGTTCTACATAACAAGGGTCTTTCTGTATAGTAGTATGTTATTGATGTCAGCTATGGTCTGTATATCTTGTACATGTACTTGTAGTGAATATTATTATTATTATTATTATTATTATTATTATACGTCATGTGAAAACATTGTGCCTCTGATGTAATATATATATTGTGCTCTGATTGGTGGAGAAGCGAATGACGTCTGTTTGTTTTGATTGTTGCAATTGGAGGAGAAGGGTATGACGTAGGTTAGACGTGTTGTGTGATTGGTGGAAGGAAGTAATGACGTAAGTTATTTCCTGTGTTGTGATTGGTTGGTTAGCATGGTGGGGGGTAGGGTGGTAAACAAGGATCAGCTGAGGCAGGTGAAGCACGATGCTTGCTGCTTCTCTTAGGTTGTCAACTTCTCTGGTAAGTATACACCTGCTGTATGACTCTAGTGGGTTTAGCGCTTCTTATTTTATTAATCATAATAATAATAATAATCTGGTAAGTATTAATCGTCTTAGCACAGATATACAGCAAGCGGTGTGTGTACTCACCTATTTGTGGTTTCAGGGGTGTGTATTCTTGTGTGTTTGTAGTAATCAATGGCCAAAACGTCTTCAGTAAAGGTATCCTAAATGAATGCTTTCGTGTTAATTTCCAATAAGTTAAGATTTTGTTCGTATTTTTAATCTGGGGAGGGTTTGCCACCCAGGATAACCCAGGGTAGGGAGGGTTAGCCACACAGGATAACCCAGGATAGGGAGGGTTTGCCACCCAGTATAACCCAGGGTAGGGAGGGTTTGCCACCCAGGATAACCCAGGGTAGGGAGGGTTTGCCACCCAGGATAACCCAGGGTAGGGAGGGTTAGTCACCCATGATAACCCAGGGTAGGGAGGGTTAGCCACACAGGATAACCCAGGGTAGGGAGGGTTAGCCACCCAGGATAACCCAGGGTAGGGAGGGTTAGCCACACAGGATAACCCAGGGTAGGGAGGGTTTGCCACCCAGGATAACCCAGGGTAGGGAGGGTTTGCCACCCAGGATAACCCAGGGTAGGGAGGGTTTGCCACCCAGGATAACCCAGGGTAGGGAGGGTTTGCCACCCAGGATAACCCAGGGTAGGGAGGGTTTGCCACCCAGGATAACCCAGGGTAGGGAGGGTTTGCCACCCAGGATAACCCAGGGTAGGGAGGGTTAGCCACTCAGGATAACCCAGGGTAGGGAGGGTTAGTCACCCATGATAACCCAGGGTTGGGAGGGTTAGCCACCCAGGATAACCCATGGTAGGGAGGGTTTGCCACCCAGGATAATCCATGATAGGGAGGGTTAGCCACCCAGGATAACCCATGGTAGGGAGGGTTAGCCACCCAGGATAACCCAGGGTAGGGAGGGTTAGCCACCCAGGATAACCCAGGGTAGGGAGGGTTAGTCACCCAGGATAACCCATGGTAGGGAGGGTTAGTCACCCAGGATATCCCAGGGTAGGGATGGTTAGCCACCCAGGATAACCCAGGGTAGGGAGTGTTAGCCACCCAGGATAACCCAGGGTAGGGAGAGTTAGCCACTCAGGATAACCCAGGGTAGGGAGGGTTAGCTACCCAGGATAACCCAGGGTAGGGAGGGTTAGCCACCCAGGATAACCCAGGGTAGGGAGGGTTAGCTGCCCAGAATAACCCAGGGCAGGGAGGGTTAGCTGCCCAGGATAACCCAGGGTTGGGAGGGTTAGCTGCCCAGGATAACCCAGGGCAGGGAGGGTTAGCTGCCCAGGATAACCCAGGGTTGGGAGGGTTAGCCACCCAGGATAACCCAGGGTAGGGAGGGTTAACCACCCAGGATAACCCAGGGTAAGGATGGTTAGTCACCCAGGATAACCCAGGGTAGGGAGGGGTAGCCACCCAAGATAACCCAGGATAGGGAGGGTTAGCCACCCAGGATAACCCAGGGTAGGGAGGGTTAGCTGCCCAGGATAACCCAGGGCAGGGAGGGTTAGCTGCCCAGGATAACCCAGGGTTGGGAGGGTTAGCCACCCAGGATAACCCAGGGTAGGGAGGGTTAGCTGCCCAGGATAACCCAGGGTTGGGAGGGTTAGCCACCCAGGATAACCCAGGGTAGGGAGGGTTAGCTGCCCAGGATAACCCAGGGCAGGGAGGGTTAGCTGCCCAGGATAACCCAGGGTTGGGAGGGTTAGCCACCCAGGATAACCCAGGGTAGGGAGGGTTAACTGCCCAGAATAACCCAGGGCAGGGAGGGTTAGCTGCCCAGGATAACCCAGGGTTGGGAGGGTTAGCTGCCCAGGATAACCCAGGGTTGGGTGGGTGGGTTTAGCCACCCAGGATAACCCAGGGTAGGGAGGGTTAGCTGCCCAGGATAACCCAGGGCAGGGAGGGTTAGCTGCCCAGGATAACCCAGGGTTGGGAGGGTTAGCCACCCAGGATAACCCAGGGTAGGGAGGGTTAACTGCCCAGAATAACCCAGGGCAGGGAGGGTTAGCTGCCCAGGATAACCCAGGGTTGGGAGGGTTAGCTGCCCAGGATAACCCAGGGTTGGGAGGGTTAGCCACCCAGGATAACCCAGGGTAGGGAGGGTTAGCTGCCCAGGATAACCCAGGGTTGGGAGGGTTAGCCACCCAGGATAACCCAAGAAAGTTAGTGCATCATCAGGGACTGTCTGTTTTATTTCCATTGTGGTTCTTCAGTCTTGTCCCCCAGGATGCCACACACACAAGTCGACTAGCACCCAGGTACCTACTTCTAGGTGAACAGGGACAGCAGGTGTAAGGTAATTAACACCCAGGTACCTGCTTACTGCTAGGTGAACAGGGGCAGCAGGTGTAAGATAAAATTTTGTTCGGATTTTTAACCCCGGAGGGTTTGCCACTCAGGATAACCCAAGAAAGGCTGTGTGTCATTGAGGGACTGTATGTCTTATTTCCATTGGGGTTCTCAATCTTGTCTCCCAGGATTCGACCCACACCAGCTGACTAACACCCAGGTACTTGCTACTAGATGAACAGGGACATCAAGTGTAAGGAAACATGCCTGTTTCCACCAGTGCCAGGGATTGAACCACAGACACTTAGTATGTGAGCTGAGTCTCTTCTGTGCCACAGTGGCTGTGAGGGCAGTGTGAGGAGGAAGCCTCCAGCCTCCTTGCTGCAGCATTCAAACCCATACTTCTCACCCATACAGTAGTGTTGGTACCACTATACTTTGGTATATGTATTCCTTATTTGTTTCTGTGGATAAAGTTCTGTCTCCACAGATGCCTCAGTGCACCACCACCAGTTTTTCCTTTGTCAGTTCTATGGTTCACCTAATGTCTCTTAGAACCATCCACTGACTGATCCACTCCCAAATATCTGAACACATTTACTTCCTCCATTCTTCTTCCCTCCAGTCTCTCATTGCCAATATTTTTTGATACTTTCATCACCTTGTTCTTCCCTATGTTTACTTTTAATTTCCTTTTTTTTTTTACATACATGCCCTCCTAAATTCATATACCAATCTTTGCAATTTCTCTTCTGAACCTCCCAACAGAACAATGTAATCATCAGATAGCAACTGTGACAACTCCCACTCTATACAGTACCAGATTCACTAACTTTTAGTCCCACACCTCTCTGTATCACCCCCTATTTTTATAACCCCAATCAGTAAAACTAGGCCCTGTTCAAGGCCTACTTTTACTGAAAAATAATCTCCTTATCTTATACATACCTTAACCTGCACCTCACTATCCACATAAAAGCTCATTACTGCTTTAAGTAACCTACTACCTATTCTATACATTTGCAACATCTGCCATATTACTCCCCTATCTGCCCTAAAATATACCTTTTCCAAATCCATAAATACAATGAAAAATTGCTTACCTTTATCTAAGTATTGTTCACTTAGGTGCTTCACTGTGAACACTTGGTTTACATAGCCCCTACTCTACCTAAAAATTTCTTTGTTCTTCTGCAATCCTATTCAACAGGCTTATTCCCATATAATTCTTCTTGCAGATTGGAAGTCCAAAATGGGGCTTCAAGTGGTTCTCACAAGTGTCTGCACCATATTCTCTTCTTCAGGTCTCCCAGGAAAATGGAGTTCGTCGCATTACATTGGCTGATGCCAAAACAAGGTGCAGTATGGATGATGTAATGATCCCCTCTTTGTTAACAAGCAAATGTAAAGAATATTGTGTTTTTAATAACAGGCAATTATATAAACAATGGCTTTTGTCATATTTTTAAGAATTAGGCATATAATAAAACTACATTATCTATAATATTAATGATAATTGTTTTAGTGTATACAGTACTATACCGTACAATAAAACAAGTGATTAGCATGGCAGGGTAGACTCCTGAAACTGGTCACAGGTATGTCACAGGGTCCTACTAGGTTTTTGTCTCTAGGTAGCGACCCACAATAATTAACTACAGTAACTCTTATGTATGTATTGTACTTGTTTACTACTGGGTGAATAGGAAAAAGCAGATGCAATTAGACTTACCCATATGTCTTGTCATGCCCAGGAAATATCAGGATAGCTTTCATAGTTGTCATTTTTTTAAACTTTGTTTTCCTCATTTATGTTTATCAATATGGATTGCATGTGTAACAAGCCTCATTTGTTTATGCAAGTTTACAATTTGACTTATCTCAGTTTCATTTCTGTAAGATAGGCACTCTGCTTTTCTTTGGAAATATCACTTCTATTATTATATATTTTTTATTATTGTATTCAAGGGAAAGTGCTAAACCAGTAGGAGTCCTACAATACCTGGGTTATGGGAGAAGATCAAATTTGATCTGAGGAAGAGGAAGGTAGCTCTAATTTCTTGGATGAAGAACTGTTCACCATCATCAAGGCACCTACCTAGAAGAGTCCACTTGTACGAAATACAAACAATAAAAGCAGGTTTTAGGTACCATTATTGTAATACAGTGGACCCCCAGTTATTGACCGTAATCCGTTCCAGAAGGTCAGCTGATAACCGAAATGGTTGATAACCGAATTAATATTTCCATAAGAATTAATGGAAATACAATTAATCCGTTCCAAACAAAAATATTTACAAAAAAAATAATTTTTTTAACAATTATGTAAGTATTATATACCTTTATTGAAGGCTAATGCTGACTTCTGGAAGATAGGGAGGAGGAAAGAGGGAGGAGTTAGTGTTTGGAAGGGAATGCCCCTCCATCAAGACTTTAGGTAGCAAAACCTGCTCTGGGGATACTTCCCTTCTCTGTCTTTTATTGCCACTAGGACCAGCTTGAGAGTCACTGGACCCCTGTTTCACAAAATAACTGTCCAGAGTGCTCTGTTTCTGGCATCTCTTCCCACAAAATCCTGTCCCACTTCCCTGAAGTGGGACAAGATTTTGTCACTAAACATGATCCAGATATGGTTTGTTTCAGCTTTGTCAGGGTGGTGTTTCTCTACAAAAGCTTGCACCCTAGTCCACATTGCACACACCTCTTTAATCTCTGAAGAAGGCACCTCCTTCACTCCCTCTTCCTCTTCCTCTGAAGCAAGTTCCTCAGTTGCAGTCTGTTGCTGTTCGAGATGAAGCTCTTGCAGCTCTTCAGTGGTTAGCTCTTCCCTGTGGTCCTCCATCAACTCTTCCACATCCTCGCCACTCACCTCCAACCCCAGGGACTTCCCCAATGCCACAATAGGAGTCCACAGGGTCAGCAGGGTCAGGGTCAGGCTCAAACCCTTCAAAATCCCTCTCTTGGACACAATCTGGCCACAGTTTCTCTGAGCAGAGTTCGAAGTCCTGGAAGTCACTCCCTCCCAAGCCTTACCTATAAGGCTTATGCAATGGAGGATAGTGAAATGATTCCTCCAGAACTCTCTTAGGGTCAACTGAGTGTCTGAGGTCACTTCAAAGCACTTTTAAAACACTGCTTTTGTGTAGAGTTTTTTGAAGTTAGAAATGACCTGCTGGTCCATGGGCTGGAGGAGAGAAGTGGTGTGAGGAGGCAAGAACTTCACTGTGATGAAACTGAAGTCCCTAAACACTTGGAGGATGTGCAGGAGCATTGTCCAGTACCAGGAGGCACTTGAGTGGCAATTTCTTTTCCAGGAGGTATTTTTTCACACTTGGGCCAAACACATCATTAGCCTACTCTTTGAAAATTTGCCTTGTGACCCATGCCTTATGATTAGTTTTCCATATCATACACAATCTATTTTTCATGACATTGTTTTTCTTAAACACTCTGGGATTTTCTGAGTGATACACAAGTAAAAGCTTCACTCTGAAATCCCCACTAAATTACCACACAACAAAAAAGTAAACCTGTCTTTCATAGGCTTGTGTCCTGGCAGTGCCTTTTCCTCCTGGGTAATGTAGGTCCTGTTTTGCATTTTCTTCCAAAGCAGGCCTGTTTCGTCACAATTGAACACTTGCTGGAGTTCGAATCCTTCAGCTTTTACATGGTCCTGGAATTCATGAACATACTTTTCAGCTGCACATTTGTCAAAACTTGCAGCCTCACCATGCCTTACAGCACTGTGTATGCTACTATGCTTCTTAAATCTATCAAACCATACTTTGCTGGCCCTAAATTCACAAACTGCAGCACTTGTTCCAGGCATTTTCTTTGCAAGATCCTCATGCAACTGCTTTCCCTTCTCACAAATGATCGACTCCACAACACTGTCTCCCACTAACTTTTTTTCCTTAATCCACAATAATAATAACTTTTCCATCTCTTCCATTATTGGTGGCCTTTGTTTAGTTAGAAAAGTTACTCCTTTTGCAAAATTAGCATCTTTGATTTGTTCTTTCTTTGCCAGGATGGATGTACGTAATTGTTGATTTATTCTTGCTGTACATCCGAGCAAGTTCCATCACCTTCATACCACTCTATCACTTCACGCTTAAATTCCATGGTGTTTCTCACTTTCTTTACCACAGGAACTTTACTAGAAACTTTCTTTGGAGCCATCTTTACTTATTTCACAGTTGCACTGCAAGAAAAACCACTAAAAACAATGGTAAACAAGTGAAATGTTTGGATATATGAGCAGAAGCTTCCTCAGCCACAAACAAAACCAAACTGAAGTGCAAGCTGCCCCAGCCGGCGGATGGATGCATACAAAACTGCCAATAACCGGGCGCCAAAAAACTCGCTGATAACCGAGTTGGCCGATAACCAAACCCACCGATAACCGGGGGTCCACTGTATATAGTTTTTGCACAAATCATTTAAATATGGGACTTGCTTCATGCATAAATAAGATAATAAAGAATTAATATTCCATAAGCATTGTCATTAAACTCTACATTTATGGAAGCCACGAATAGAGTTTACTGTATAGTACTATAGAGATTTTCTCGCTACATAAGTAAACTTTTGAAAATACAAAGTACTTTTTAAACATTTATTCTCCTTATGCAGAAATTCACTTTCTCTCCAAATGCTGAAGGAGTTGCAGACTGCAATAACTCCCAAAGATCCTTCTTTGCGATGTATTGTACTTGGAGCACAGGGCAAAGTCTTCTCAGCTGGGCATAATCTCAAAGAACTGGTTAGTCTTCTCAGCTAGTTTTAATCTCGAGGAACCAAATAGTTTTAATAGTCTTAATTAAGAGCAGTCATAATCTATGGAAAAAATCTGTATTCTCAGGTTGGACTAAGTGTTTATAGATGTAAATGCACTGTATGTATTTAGGTTAAGGAGTTATTAAGGCTAAGTTTAGGGATAATGAAGTTCATTTATAGTATTTAAATGCATTCATACTATTTACACCTGTATAAGAATGGGTGGATGAGAAATGTTCCTCCTATATTGGGCCCTTCTAACTTGTCAGTTTTAAAAATGGCAGATGAATTAGTACAATGCCTGTACTTGGTATACTTAATTGTCAATGTACTAAGTAGCTGTGGTATGAGGAGAAAAAAATGTGGCTTTTTACCAGTATGCTTATTACATCTTGTAAGGTTTTCTTGTTAAGTCCTTAGCATTAATGACTATTGTTGATTCACACCGCTGAATAACCCATATGGTGTTAGTGCCTGTCTTTATGAATATAATTATAGTATAATTATGTTCTTCTTTAGCTTCAATATTATAAATATTACAATATTATAAGGTTTAGAGTTGTTAAGGAAGTATGGAAATACACCAAAAGGTGGAATAGCTATTATTATACATACTTTTTTTATTAACACATCGGCTGTTTCCCACCAAGGCAGGGTGGCCCGAAAAAGAATAACTTCCATCATCATTCACTCCATCACTGTCTTGCCAGAGGCATGTTTACACTACAGTTATAAAACTGCAATATTAACACCTCCCCCTTCAAAGTGCTGGCATTGTACTTCCCATCTCCAGGAATCAAGTCCGGCCTGCCGGTTTCCCTGAATCCTTTCATAAATGTTACCATGCTTATACTCCAACATCACATCAAGTCCTAAAAACCATTTGTCTCCATTTGCTCTTATCTAAAAAGCTCATGCACACTTGTTGGAAGTCCAAGCATCTCTCAAACAAAACCTTCATTCCCTCCCTCCAACCTTTCTTAGGCCAACCCCTACCCCACCTTCCCTCCACTGCAGATTTATACACTCTCGAAGTCATTCTATTTTGTTTCATCCTCTCTACATGTCCAAACCATTTCGATAACCCCTCCTCAGCCCTCTGGATAATAGTTTTGGTAATCCCGTGCCTCCTCCTAATCTCCAAACTATGGATTCCCTACATTATATTCACACCACACATTGCCCTTGGACATGACATCCCCACTGTCTCCAGTTTTCTCCTTGTTGCAACATTCACCACCCATGCCTCACACCCATACAAGACTGTTGGTATAACTATATGTAGTCTCATACATTCCCCTCTTTGCTATCATGGATAAAGTTCTTTGTGTCCACAGATTCCTCAGTGCATCACTCATCTTTTTTCCCTCGTCAATTCTGTGTTTTACCTCATCTTTCATAGATCCATCTGCTGACACGTCCACTCCCAAATACAGTGTTACCCCGAGTTTTGGCCATGATTCATTCCAGAAGGCTTTTCGAGTGCCATTACTGAACGAATTTTTTCCCATAAAGAATAATGTAATTTTAGATTAGTCTGTTTCAGACCCCCAAAAATACACTTACAAAAGCACTTAAAATAATACACTTACATAATTGTTCGAGTTGGGAGTTGTACGAAACTCAGGGTACCACCTCCATACTCTCCCTCCAATCTGATATCCAGTCATCCATTACATAATTTTTTTATCCTCATCTTACTCTTTCCTGTATTCACTTTTAATTTTCTTCTTTTACATACCCTACATAACCTGTTATGTAATGTTTTCATTTTATTCATCTTACAGTGGACCCCCGACTAACGATATTATTTCAATCCAGAAGTCTGTTCGGGTGCCGTTATAGACCGAATTTGTTCCCATAAGGAATATTGTGAATTAGATTAGTCCGTTTCAGACCCCCAAAAATACACCTACAAAGGCACTTACAAAAATACACTTACATAATTAGTCGAGTTGGGAGCTCATCGTTAGTCGGGGGTCCACTGTATTTATATTTCTTACCAATGTTTCTTTTTTCAGAAAAATGATATCAAGAATAAAAGTCATACAGAATTACAGTACATATATGATTACTGTATTTTATTTGTATATTTATATGTTGAAGTTTAAAAGTTAAATTGACTAAAAAGAATGTAAAGGATAATTATTTTTGCGTAAATACAGGCAGGCCTCGCTTTACAGTGATTTGCTAATACTGCGGTTTTTCAATTATACCCATTCTTCATTTATTTGGTCTAAGCTTAAAATATGCATCATTTTTTAAGCTTTTCTATATTGCTATAAGCATGTTATCAGGCTTTTATATAAATTTGAAAGTGAAAAAAGGCTGTGATTCACTTTACAGCAGTTTTCACTTTATAGTAGTAGCCCAGAACCTAACCTGCTGTATAAGTGGGGCCCTCCTGTATTTGCTTTTAGCCTAGACAAGGATAGTTTGCTTTTTGAGAATTTTCCAGCATCCTGTGATGAAACTTGAAATTCATTCAGAGATGAATAATGACCTCAGTTAGAAAAAAATAACCTCACCTTTTGTAATTTTAGTGTTTCTAAATAACAATTATTATACTTTTCAGACACTGAAAGAAGGACGTAACTACCACCAGAAAGTTTTTGATGCTTGCTCGGAACTTATGCTAGCACTGCGAGATCTACCAGTTCCTGTTGTTGCTACAGTGAATGGTGTTGCTGCTGCTGCTGGATGCCAGCTGGTTGCATCTTGTGATGTTGTTCTTGCTACACAAAATTCTTCCTTTTCAACACCGGGGTAATATACTGACTATTCCTTGTGTTACTTTTGATTATTACAAGGTTAATATATTCATCTACACTAATATATTCTTGCTACACAAAATTCTTCCCTTTCAACACCAGGGTAATATACTCACCATTCCTTGTGTGACCTTTGGTTATTACAAGACTAATGTATTCATCTAGAAATGCCCATGTACATGTAGTTTTAACCCTTTGAGGGTCGACAGGCCCTCTCTGAGACTTGTTCTCAGGGTCGGCCAAATTTCAAAAAAAAAAAAAATTATTTTTTCTTATGAAAAGATAGAGAATCTTTTCCCGATCATAATGGCACCAAAAGTATGAAATTTGATGGAAAACTTACGGAATTATGCTCTTGCGAAGTTAGCGGTCTCGACGATGTTTACGCATCGGCGATTTTGCCCACTTTGAGCTCTATTTTTAGCCAATTCCAATGTACTAGTCGACAAAAATCATAACTATTTCGCTAGAACTCTATTTTTTCTATCGAATGAGTGCAAGAAACCACCCATTTACAGATTTCATCTATCCAATAAAGTGGTCAGAATTTAGCAATTTTACCAATTTCACACAAATTTCAAAAGATGCCAATTTCCGAATAGGGTCCAGAATAAACAAGAAAGACATTCCTGGCACTAAAATAACAAGTTCTCTGTTCGTTAGTCACATCCCCAGGCCCCTCTTATATTTCTTTGGCTTTCCACTTTCAATTTTTATTCTTACAAAAAATATAAGATTTACTGTTATGCAGACTGCTGCATTAGTGTAGAAATGGTATAAATAATATCAGCGCACTTGTGAAAGAATATTAGACTCACCAGTTGACGTGTATTGGACGCTTGGCATGATTTGTTTACTTTTGAACTTTGGTAAAAATCGAACATTTCTGCTACTTTGAGCTCAATTTCAAGGTACTTTTCATTGTAAAACCAGTCAAAATCATCTCAATTTCTGTAATATGTCTTCCATTCTATAAAACGAGACCAAGAAAACTAGAATACAACAATAAATACCATATGAAAATACAGTGCAAAGTCGCTGTTTTATTCCAAGTTTTTTTTTTCTCATTATGCACTGTGTGCTGCAGGATTTTTTTTATACTGAGCACACTGACCACATAGACCCATTCTTTCATATGTAGGCCTACCAGCTTTCTCCCACTAGATTTGAGGGCGCTAGAATTTAAGCGTACTAGTACGTCAAAAACCCCCTGGGTCGTAAGCCGTACTAGTACAGCCGAAACCCCCAAAGGGTTAAGCAATAATTAAGTAAAAATATTCGGTTTAGACATGTACAGTGGAACCTCTGGTCACAACCATAATTCATTCCAAAACTCTGGTCACGACCCGATTTAGTCGTGACCCAAACCTAATTTCCCCATTGGATTGTATGTAAATACGATTAATCCGTTCCAGACCCCTATGAACCATGTGTAAATATGTTTTTTTTTTTCTTTAAAATTTTTAAGCACAAAAATTAGCTAATTATACCATAGAATACACAGTTTAATAGTAAACTAAATGTAAAAACCTTGAATAACACTGAGAAACCCTTGAACAACAGAGTCTGTTCTAGACCCCTATGAACCATTCGCCGTAAAGAGTTTTTTTAAGAGTTTTAATGGCTGAGAAGTGAACTCCATTATTTGCCATCCGATTTCTTACATTTTTGGTGTACGTTGAGAAGCAAATTTCTATCATACATTGCCCAAGTTTCAATAAGATAGCCCAACAAACAACTGAAAAAAAATATTTACCAAAAATAATATATGGCAAGCCCTAGCTGGGTACTGGCACTGTGAGAAGCTATTTGTGCACTACCTGGTGATAAAACATTGCTAACCCAAATTTATCACAGTTGTAATTACTGTAATTTATGAATAACTTACTTCCGAGATAATCGACGAAAATGAGCGTGCACCCAAAAATCGAGAAAATAAGTCACTGACTTTTTTGGGTTATCCTAAGTTCTCTACACATAAGCTGCTATGTTTGATAATCTATGTAACTGTATTTGTGTATACCTGAATAGACTTAGTACGTACCTAGTTTTATGGTGCATTACAAGTGTGTATCACAGTTAGCACTGTAATACACTATATTTTCTCTAATATAAGTACCCAGGAGGGGATAAGAGGATGGTTCTTTATCTCTTATCCCCGAGTTCACAGTGAATGAACGCACTTCTGACCAAGACCGACTACAAGGCAAGGGTCTTTGTTATGTGTACGCAAACAACAGGAAGTGGGGAAAATTGGTGCATGCATAAAAAATGGCGTGGAATGTGAAAATTGGCATGGTTGTGTTTGTTTGGCACCCAATTATGTTTCGTGACCAGATGCAAAAATTTGGTGAATTTTTTTGGTTGTGAACCAATTTGTTCATGTTTGGAAGTGTTTGTGACCCAAGGTTCCACTGAATATGTATTTCTCCAAATTACAGTAAAATACTATTGTATTTTATTATAAAAAAAAAAACATTCTGTAAAATTAAGATATATAATTCAGTACTGTACAGTTAATATTTATACTTCAACAAATTGATAAAAAATTACCACATCTGCCATTTCACAGCAAGGTATGGTGATGCAAGAAGGAAATACATTCACCAGTACCTTCTCTAGTATTTTTTTTCCCAAGATGCATAAACATCACTATTGAAATGACCCTCAAGAACTGCAACATCCCCACCCCTCCTTCACTGTAAGCATTGTATTTCACACCTCCATAACTTAAATCTAGCTATTTTATTCCTACATGAAATTGCATTATGGGGAATTATTTTATTAAAATGGGAGTTGATACTGATAATACTGTGCTTTTGGGAGATTGTGAAGAGAAGTTGCAAAGGTTGGTGGATGAGTTTGGGAGGGTGTGTAAAGAAAGTTGAAAGTGAACATAATTAAGAGTAAGGTGATGAGGGTATCAAACAAGTTAGGTAAAGAAAAAATGGATATCAGAATGGAGGGAGGGAGTATGGAAGAAGTGAATGTGTTCAGATATTTGGGAGTAGACTTGTCAGCGGATGGGTTTATGAAGGACAAGGTTACCCATAGCATTGATGAAAGAAAAAAGGCGAGTGGTACATTGAGGTGTCTGTGAAGACAAAAAGTATTATTCATGGAAGCAAAGAAGGGAATGTATGAGTGTATATTGGTACCAACAGTCTTACATGGATGTGAAGCATGGGTTGTAAATGCTGCAAGGAGGCTGGAGGCAGTGGAGATGTTGTGTTTAAGGTCATTGTGTGGTGTAAATGTAGATGAATGGTTCAGAGAACCGACATGTTGATAAATTAGACACATGTGCAACTCTTGGGTATCTTTATTGAGGAAATGTTTCGCCACACAGTGGCTTCATCAGTCCATACAAAGGAGAATCTTGAAGAACAGGAGGAGAATGAGGTAATCAGTCCCTCAACCTTGAGTCGATGTGGTCAGTCCATCAATCTTGAATAGAATGGTGTGGTGTAAATATTATGCAGAGAATTCATAATGTGGAAATTAGTTGTGGGGTTACTAAATGTATTAATCCAAGGGCTGAAGAAGGGTTGTTGAGGTGGTTTGGTGATTTAACCCTTAAACTGTCCAAACGTAGAGCTGCGTTCACATGCATAGTGCTCCGATTGTAGATCTACGTTTTATTTTACATGCTTTCAACCTTGGCACGATAAGCCTGAGTTGCCTAGACATGAGAGAATGAGTCTTGTGCACTCATTGTGCGCAGTGTGACAAAATTCAGGAATACTGGGAAAAATGCGCTCTTCATTTTAAACAAAAAAATTTTTTTTTTTTTTTTTAAATGAAAAGTGCATTTTTGTTTAAAAAAATAATTGTTTTTTTTTTCCCCAAAAATATTCAGAACTGTACGCACGTGAACATTGATCTATCTTTGGACAGTTTAAGGGTTAAGAGAGGATGGAGCAAAATAGGGTGAAATAGAGGGTGTATAAATCTGTAGTGGAGGGAAGGAGGAGTAGGGGTCATCCTAGAAAAAGATGGAGTAAGGGAGTGAAAGAGGTTTAGCATGCAAGAGGCTTGGACATACAGCAGGCACATGTGAAGGTGTTAGATAGGAGTGAAGGGAGACAAATGGTTTTTTGGGGCTTGACGAGTTATTGGAGTGTAAGCAGCGTAATATTTTGTGAAGGGATTCAGGGAAACTGGTTAGCCAGACTTGAGTCCTGGAGGTGGGAAGTACAATGCCTGCACTTTAAAGGAGGGGTTGGAGATATTGGCTGTTTGGAGTGACATCTGAACTGTCATGTTTGAGGACCTCTGCAAAGCCAGTGATTATGTGTGAATGATAGTAAAAGTGTTGAATGACTGTGAAAGTATCTCTTTCTTTTTTGGGTCACCCTGCCTCGGTGGGATACAGCCAACACATTAAAAAAAAATGAAATTGCACTTACACTTTCATCCAACAGCCATCCTTTCCATACCTGGAGGGTGTTTCAGGGCTCAGTGCCCCAACGGTCCAGTCTGTGACCAGGCTTTGTGGTGGATCAAGACCCAATCAACCAGGCTGTTACTGCTAGCTGCATGCAAACTGCCATTATTACAGTACGAGTTTAGACTACTGAACTTAGTTAGATTATGCAGTGCTCTTTCTTAGACATGATGTTCATAATCACTTGCAGCATGTAACTTTCATTTAATTTTAACCCTCTGACTGTCAAGACCCCAAATCCTGAAGTGTCTCTCTGTGTTGTAAAATATTCGAAAAAAAAACAATTATTTTTTCTTATGAAATGATAAAGAATCTTTTCCTGATGGTAATGACACCAAAAGTACGAAATTTGATGGAAAACTTACGGAATTACGCTCTCGTGAAGTTAGTGATCTCAGCGATACATACACATCGGCGATTTCACCCACTTTGAGCCCTATTTTCGGCCAGTTCTTCAGAACTCTATTTGTTCTATCGATAGAGTATAAGAAACCGCCCATATACTGATTTCAGCTACCCAATAAAGTGGTCAGAAATTGGCAATTTGGCCAATATCATGCAAATTAAAAAAAAATGCCAATTTCAAAATAGGGTCCAGAATAAACAATGCAGACATTCCTGGCACTAATATAACATTTTCTCTGTTCATTAGTCATGTCTCCAAGCCCCTCTTACATTACTCTTGCTTTCTATTCTGAATTTTTATTCACACAAAAAATAGAAGATTTACTGTTATGCAGACTACTGTATTGTTGTAATAATTGCATAAATAATGTCAACCCATTCATGACTGCATATTAGAATGGCTAGTTGGACACTTATTGGGTGGTGACATCATTTGTTTACTCTATTTCTGTAATATGTCTTCCATTCTATCAAATGAGACCAAGAAAACGAGAATACAACCATAAATACTATATGAAAATACACCTCAAAGTCAGTTGTTTAACCCAAAAACACGGTCGGAGTTTTTTTTCCTCATTATGCACTGCATGCTGCAGGAATTTTTTATACTGCGCACAATGACCACGCAGACCCATTGTCTCACATGTGGGCCTACCAGCTTTCTCCAGTTTGATTTGAAGCCGCTAGAATTTTAGCATATTAATGTCACATACACTGGCTCGCAAGACATACTGTATATATATGACACCGACAGTCAAAGGGTTAAAGTTCTCACAAGAAACAGTAAAACATTATATTTTTATTTTCCTCCCAATTCCCCTCCTACATCCATATACTGTACTGGGTCATTTTTGCAATAGAAATTTAAGTGGATTGCACTTGAGAGGATGCCTCTTCCTTGTGCAGTCCAGGACTGACAACTCAGTACTTCATAAAAACTTAGAAAGCTACTTCATTTGGCTGACTTGTGGCTGTTGTAACAGTCTGTGTGAACTAGGGCTTGTGTTATTCAAGTTATGCCTTTTGCTGATTTATACATTTTGATATGAAATGAATTATGGAATGTAGTAATTAAATGCAACTTGACTTGATTGATTTGTGACCTCTTAGATTAAGTAATTTGTGGGCTGTGGTTTGTTTTCTTTGAATTATGCATTTGTACAACAGGCAATGCCTGTGGCTTGCATTTTTGTTGGACCATTTTTTTTATAAGACTTGTTATTGCAAATTATCTGTACTTTTAACACCACTTTGTTACTGATAACACCTTACGATCAGAGCATTGACTAAACAAAGAGTTTAAGTGATTTTAAAATCTGAACAGTCAATCATTATGGTGAGTTCAACCTTCATCTCTCACATTGGCAGTGGAAGTGTTGGTATATTCTGCTCTACTCCTGGTATTCCATTGGTGAGGTGTGTTCCTTGGAAGGTATCTGCCCACATGCTACTCACAGGATTGCCCATCACAGCAGAAGAAGCTTTACATGCTGGTCTTGTCTCAAAAGTTGTCTTGGAGAATGAATTGGGTACTTCTCATAAATTCTACTAAGCCCAATTTTATGATTAATCAATTATTATTATTATTATTGTAATCAAAACTAAGCACTAAACCCACCAGGGTCATACAGCACTATGATTATTTAAAATTGTGATTTTTATGTAGATGACTATACAAACTCTTTTGACACATTCAGTATTGGAATTATATATTCAGATCTCCAAATGGAGTTCATTGTATGAAGTTTTTTATTTTATTTTTTTTACACAGAGCAAGAGACACAGAGAATAGTGGATGCAATCACTCGTAAAAGTAAAGCGGTGATATCCCTAGGAAAGAAATTTATGTATAAACAAATGGAGATGGGAATTGAGGAAGCATACAGGTAAGATTATTCTTGTGAATCTACATTTCCATCTACATACAAAAAGAACAAAATATCACAATACCATGGCTGGAACAGTTCACAAATAACTCACACTTAGAAAGTTTAGATTCTGTATTGGTCTAGCCTGGATCATTTTTAAATCAGTTGTGTGCAGAAATTACCTGTGTAATTATTCAAGTTTGCAAGAGTGAGCTCCAGCTCACTAGAAGAGACTGTGGAAGCTACAGTAGGGAATTTGAGTTAGAATTTAAAACTTAAATCAAAATGGTAATGAAAAATTTATTCATCACTTGCTTTTATTTTAGGGAAGGAAGCTGTGTGATGGTCGACAACATTAACCTGAAGGATGGACAAGAAGGAATAAGTAGTTTTATAGAGAAACGGAAACCCAGATGGTCTCATTCTGATGAATAACCATCGAATGCAAGTGTGATTATTACTATACAGTGGTACCTCGAGTTTCAAACAGATCCCAACTTGAGCAATTATGTAAATGTATTTTTGCAAGTGCATTTGTAAGTGTATTTTTGGGGGTCTGAAACAGACTAATCTAATTTACATTATTCCTTATGGGAACAAATTCGTTCGGGATCGGCACTCAGACAGCCTTCTGGAATGAATTAAGTTTGTAACTTGAGGTACCACAGTACTGTAATCAAAACTAAGTGCTAAACCTACAAGGGTCATACACCATGTCTTTATTTAAAATTTTTATGAGGTAAAGGAATGCTGTGAATACTGCCTGACTACACGTTGCATTATGAGATGAATAAGGCACATTTTTATTATTAATAAATTCAAGAATTTTTTGTATTTATTGATCCTGATCACATGAGTCCAGATTGCCTATTACAGTAGTGTTCTATGGTGTATTTTCATTGCTGCTTCGTCAGCCTCGTCCTTATTTGCAGTCTCATTCTCTGAATGCATTGCATCCCCTCATATTCATAGTTGGCAGCATTGTAGCTTCAGCAAACATTACAAGGTTCAGCTGTTGGGTACCTGGGATACAGTTTCAAGGCAAAGAACTCTTGAGATGCTTCAGTATTTTTTTTTTGGTTTAACACGTCAGCAGTTTCCCACTGAGGCAGGGTGACCCAAACAGAAAGAAAAAACTTTCGTCATCATTCATACATAATCACTGTCTTTGCAGAGGCACTCAGATATAACAGTTTAGATGTCACTCAAACAGTATGTACTGTAATTTATTACCTTTCCATCTCTGGGCATTTGCTGTGCAATTCCTCTCAAGAGAGAGGCCCTTGATCCAGGGAATAAAACCTAACCTTCCTTGTATCGAATGCAATTGCCTATTTCCCCAGGAGTTGTATGACCCCTGTGGGTTTAGTATGCCCCCCAACCATAAATGTACGTGTATTAATAATCTGTAATTGCTGATGTAATACAGTGGAACCTCGGTTTTTGTATGCCCTAGGTTGTATGTAAAACTATAGTTTTTTTTTTTTTTTCTCAACAAGTTGGCCGTCTCCCACCGAGGCAGGGTGACCCAAAAAAGAAAGAAAATCCCCAAAAAGAAAATGCTTTCATCATCATTCAACACTTTCGCCACACTCACACATAATCACTGTTTTTGCAGAGGTGCTCAGAATACAACAGTTTAGAAGCATACACATATAAAGATACACAACATATCCCTCCAAACTGCTAATATCCCAAACCCCTCCTTTAAAGTGCAGGCATTGTACTTCCCATTTCCAGGACTCAGGTCCGACTGTATGAAAACCGGTTTCCCTGAATTTTTTTTTTTTTTTCTCAACAAGTTGGCCGTCTCCCACCAAGGCAGGGTGACCCAAAAAAGAAAGAAAATCCCCAAAAAGAAAATACTTTCATCATCATTCAACACTTTCACCACACTCGCACATTATCACTGTTTTTGCAGAGGTGCTCAGAATACAACAGTTTAGAAGCATACACATATAAAGATACACAACATATCCCTCCAAACTGCCAATATCCCAAACCCCTCCTTTAAAGTGCAGGCATTGTACTTCCCATTTCCAGGACTCAAGTCCGACTATATGAAAATAACCGGTTTCCCTGAATCCCTTCACTAAATATTACCCTGCTCACACTCCAACAGATCGTCAGGTCCCAAGTACCATTCGTCTCCATTCACTCCTATCTAACACGCTCACGCATGCTTGCTGGAAGTCCAAGCCCCTTGCCCACAAAACCTCCTTTATCCCCTCTCTCAAACCCTTTCCTGGTATACTCAGTAAACTTATTCCTCTATAATTTTTACAGTCTCTTTTGTCCCCTTTCCCTTTATATAAAGGGACTATACATGCTCTCCGCCAATCCCTAGGTACCTTCCCCTCTTTCATACATTTATTAAACAAAAGTACCAACCACTCCAACACTATCTCCCCCCCTGCTTTTAACATTTCTGTCATGATCCTATCAGTTCCAGCTGCCTTACCCCCTTTCATTTTACGTAATGCCTCACGTACCTCCCCCACACTTACATTCTGCTCTTCTTCACTCCTAAAAGATGGTATACCTCCCTGACCAGTGCATGAAATTACTGCTTCTGTTTCTTCCTTAACACTTAAAAGTTCCTCAAAATATTCTCGCCATCTACCTAATACCTCCATCTCCCCATCTACTAACTCCCCTACTCTGTTTTTAACTGACAAATCCATACTTTCCCTAGGCTTTCTTAACTTGTTTAACTCACTCCAAAATTTTTTCCCTGAATCCCTTCACTAAATATTACCCTGCTCACACTCCAACAGATCGTCAGGTCCCAAGTACCATTCGTCTCCATTCACTCCTATCTAACACGCTCACGCACGCTTGCTGGAAGTCCAAACCCCTTGCCCACAAAACCTCCTTTACCCCCTCTCTCCAACCCTTTCGAGGACGACCCCTACTCGCCTTCCTTCCCCTATAGATTTATATGCTTTCCATGTCATTCTACTTTGATCCATTCTCTCTAAATGACCAAACCACCTCAACAACCCCTCTTCTGCCCTCTGATTAATACTTTTATTAACTCCACACCTTTTCCTAATTTCCACACTCCGAATTTTCTGCATAATATTTACACCACACATTGCCCTTAGACAGGACATCTCCACTGCCTCCAACCGTCTCCTCGCTGCTGCATTTACCACCCAAGCTTCACACCCATATAAGAGTGTTGGTACTACTATACTTTCATACATTCCCTTCTTTGCCTCCATAGATAACGTTTTTTGACTCCACATATACCTCAATGCACCACTCACCTTTTTTTCCCTCATCAATTCTATGATTAACCTCATCCTTCATAAATCCATCCGCCAACACGTCAACTCCCAAGTATCTGAAAACATTTACTTCTTCCATACTCCTCCTCCCCAATTTGATATCCCATTTTTCTTTATCTAAATCATTTGATACCCTCATCACCTTACTCTTTTCTATGTTCACTTTCAACTTTCTACCTTTACACACATTCCCAAACTCATCCACTAACCTTTGCAATTTTTCTTTTGAATCTCCCATAAGCACAGAATCATCAGCAAAAAGTAACTGTGTTAATTCCCATTTTGAATTTGATTCCCCATAATTTAATCCTACCCCTCTCCCGAACACCCTAGCATTTACTTCTTTTACAACCCCATCTGTAAATATATTAAACAACCATGGTGACATTACTCATCCCTGTCTAGGACCTACTTTTACCGGGAAGTAGTCTCCCTCTCTTCTACACACCCTTACCTGAGCCTCACTATCCTCATAAAAACTCTTTACAGCATTTAGTAACTTACCACCTATTCCATATACTTGCAACATCTGCCACATTGCTCCCCTATCCACTCTATCATATGCCTTTTCTAAATCCATAAATGCAATAAAAACTTCCCTACCTTTATCTAAATACTGTTCACATATATGCTTCAATGTAAACACTTGATCTACACATCCCCTACCCACTCTGAAACCTCCTTGCTCATCCGCAATCCTACATTCTGTCTTACCTCTAATTCTTTCAATTATAACCCTACCGTACACTTTTCCTGGTATACTCAATAAACTTATTCCTCTATAATTTTTACAATCTCTTTTGTCCCCTTTCCCTTTATATAAAGGGACTATACATGCTCTCCGCCAATCCCTAGGTACCTTCCCCTCTTTCATACATTTATTAAACAAAAGTACCAACCACTCCAACACTATATCCCTCCCTGCTTTTAACATTTCTGTCATGATCCCATCAGTTCCAGCTGCTTTACCCCCTTTCATTCTACGTAATGCCTCACGTACCTCCCCCACACTTACATTCTGCTCTTCTTCACTCCTAAAAGATGGTATACCTCCCTGGCCAGTGCATGAAATTACCGCCTCCCTTTCTTCCTCAACATTTAAAAGTTCCTCAAAATATTCTCGCCATCTACCTAATACCTCCCTCTCCCCATCTACTAACTCCCCTACTCTGTTTTTAACCGACAAATCCATACTTTCCCTAGGCTTTCTTAACTTGTTTAACTCACTCCAAAATTTTTTCTTATTTTCATTAAAATTTCTTGACAGTGCCTCTCCCACTCTATCATCTGCTCTCCTTTTGCACTCTCTCACCACTCTCTTCACCTTTCTTTTACTGTCCATATACTCTGCTTTTCTTATAACATTTCTGCTTTGTAAAAACCTCTCATAAGCTAACTTTTTCTCTTTTATCACACCCTTTACTTCATCATTCCACCAATCACTCCTCTTTCCACCTGCCCCCACCCTCCTATAACCACAAACTTCTGCCCCACATTCTAATACTGCATTTTTAAAACTATTCCAACCCTCTTCAACCCCCCCACTACTCATCTTTGCACTAGCCCACCTTTCTGCCAATAGTCGCTTATATCTCGCCCGAACTTCCTCCTCCCTTAGTTTATACACTTTCACCTCCCTCTTACTTGTTGTTGCCACCTTCCTCTTTTCCCATCTACCTCTTACTCTAACTGTAGCTATTCTCTATAACTGTAGTTATTCTCTATAAATGTATTTTTTGTTAATATTTCCCATAAGAAATACAGTAAACTGTAGTTTAACACTGTTTTGTTTTGCACGTTTTCGTTATAGCACTACTGAAGAATTAAGGCATATTTTTGTATAACACATCGTAAAATTAACTGTAAAATTAACTTAACACAGTTCAGTTTGCGGGAGAGGAAAATTTTTTTAGGCATCACCCACAAGGATACACACTGCTTGGCTGTGGGTTAGGCCACTGAGCCAACGGGGGAGACCTACCGCCACCCCATCACCCTCTGCCACCCCCACCACCCTTGTCCCAGTCTTTGATTCATGTGTGTGTAGTACTTAGCATCCTCTGCTAGGAGTTTATATCTTTTAATTGCAATATCTTAAATCTACCACACAATCATGGCACCCAGTAGATATACAAGTGTTGCTGAAAGTGGCAAGAAAAGGTTTAAGGGTTTAAGTTTTAGAAATATTAAACGAGATAGTCTGTGGCAGTAATGAAGCGTCACTTTGTGCACATAAAAACAATGAGGCAAATATGAGTTTGTGTGATGACTGAACTTGACTTGACTGACTTAAAGTTAAACTTTTTCACTGATGAAAACCCTGAAATGGTGTCTCGAGCAGCTGATGCCCTACCATCAGTAGTATAATGTACTGCGGGGTAAAATCCATTACAGAATTTATGCACACTCCAGTACAACCATTGACTTCAGTACCAGAACCTCTACCATCCACCTCAGTCCAGTAGGGCCACAACATAACTCTCACTCTCTTCACAATCATCCACAAACACCAGCACCCACAATTTAAGGTAAGAAATACTATTATTTCTGTTGCATTTGTAATCTTAAGCAGTAAAAACAACATAATGCATCATGACAGTGAACTACAATTACATATTCACTTTTATTTTTGTAAGATCTGGATGTCTAAAAAAAAGGTTGTTTGGTTTTTTTGGGCTCCCATGAACGTAACCCTATTTTTCCCATAAGTTCTTCAGTTTGTCTAACACGGTTTTAACTAAAACAGGTCCCCTTAACTAAGATAGGTCCCCCTTAAAAATAACTCTGGGCATCTTACTGACAAGGAGAATGAAATGTGATGAGCTTTTTTCAAGGGTTCTTAAGGAACCCTTGTAAAAAGCTCATCAGGACCCAGCAATTTGTTTTGTTTCAGTCGGTCTACTTGTTTCATAACCATTTCGCTAGTGACTGTGATATTGCATAATTTATCTTCTTCAGGCCCATTATAAAAATTAATTACTGGGATATTGTTAGTGTCTTTGTGTGTGAAAACTGAAAGAAAATAATTATTAAAAATTGAGCACATTTCATTCTCCTTGTCAGTAAGGTGCTCACAGTTATTTTTAAGTGGACCTGTTTTAATTAAAACCGTGTTAGACAAACTGAAGAATTTATGGGGAAATAGGGTTAACATAACCCTATTTTTCCCATAAGTTCTTCAGTTTGTCTAACATGGTTTTAACTAAAACAGCGTTTTCAGGAGCATAACTACCGTGTTAAACGACAGTCTACTGTAATGTAAATCCAATTACTCCGTTCCAGACACCCAAAAATATTAACAAAAAATACATTTTATATAGAATAACTATAGTTTTACATACAAACTAGGGCATATGATAACCGAGGTTCCACTGTACTGTATATCATTTTGAATAACGCTTATTATAATTAAAAATAATTGAATCTAACCTAACCAACTAAATCACCGGAGATCAGCAGTGAAAGTAGCTACACCTGTGTATATTCCCTATCTAAACAGCTCATGGAAACATTGCATTATTTTTTAAGTACATTTGAAGGTCATCTGAAGTTTAATGTCAGCACACCTTTGGCATGACAATGATTAAATGAATAATGAATGTTTTTCTTTGTGAGAGATGGCTAGAATATTAAAAACAATTGTTAGTACATCAATGTTTAACAATGCTGTCTGATGATTACACTGATTGCTCAAAGCACACACTAAATTCTCAGTATTGCCTTATTTGTTTTTTGGGCTGTCTCCTGCCAAGGCAGGGCAATTCACAGAAGAAAATGTATTTGTTAACATTCACTCAATGTCTTTCCAAAAGTGTGACACCCTCACACTGTAACATCCCAACTCCTTTAGAGTGCAGGTGCTGCTCTTCCACCTCAAGGACTCAAATCTGGCTAACTGGTTTTTCTGAATCCCTTCATAAGAGTCACCCTGCTCTCACTCCAACAGCACATTTATTAAAAACCACTGGTCACCATGTGTGTGTCTCACAAGTGCTAAAGGCTGAAGGAGTCCTACAGTAGTGTAAGTATACCAGTTAAAATGATAAATGGGGATGTTGCCCACCAGTGAATTACTATAGCTGATGTCTATGCTCTTCTGGCCCCTCAAGGAAGGTTCCTTGATGTTGGTGAGGGGCTCTTGATTTAGGGAATTGGATCTGTGCTCCAGTTCCCTGAATTAAGCCTGAATGCCTTCCACATCCACCCCCAGGCACTGTATAATCCTCCGGGTTTAGCGCTTCCCCCTTGATTATAATAATAATAATAATATGCTCTTCTGGAAAGATTTTATTATTATAATCTGGGGGAGTGCTGAAGCTGTAGGATTATACAGTGCCTTGGGGGAGGAGGGAGGATGGAAGGTATTCAGGCCTAATTCAGGAAACTGGAGCACAGATCCAATTCCCCAGCTCAAGAGCCCCTCACCAGCAGGATCCTCCCTTGAGGAGTCTGGAAGGATAGAGAGTGAGTGATGGTGAATTATGTTTTCGTTCTTTGGGGTCACCACACACTGGTGGGAAATGGTTATGTATTAAAAAATTAACTGAGAAATATAAATTTTAGCATATTATACTATATACCCTTTAAGAGGGATGGCTTGATGCCAATATAGTTTTCTTGATTCAAGAAATTCGTAAAGTTTCCTTGCCCTTCCTTGGCTTAAGCCTGATTACCTTCATTTCCTAGACAATGTATGACCCTATAGGTTTAGTGCTTCCCCTGAATATATTACACAGGATTTGCAAAAAATGCTTAACTTTTATGTCCTGATAGGAGATAATGATGTCTGTTTTTAATTATGAATCTGCATGTACCTTTCAAAGGGTTCCTTGTCAAGGTGAGGGGCTCTTGGTTTGAGGAACTGGAACTTTCCTCCCTTCTCATTCCACTGCAATAGCAAGGACATTTCTCCATTCCTAAAAATCTGTTGCAGTTTTTTTTTATTAACACATCAGCTGTTTCCCATCAAGACAGGGTGACACCAAAAAAGAAGAAACTTTCATCATCATTCACTCCATCACTGTCTTCCCAGAGGCGTACCTACACTACAGTTAAGCTGCAACTTATTAACGCCCCTCCTTCAGAGTGCAGGTACCGTAAGTCTCACCTCCAGAACTCAAGTTCGGCCTGCCAGTTTTCCTGAATCCCTCCATAAATGTTACTTTACTTTCGCTCCAACAGCACATCAAGTCATAAAAGCCATTTGTCTCCACTCACTCCTATCTAACACACTCATGAATGCTTGCTGGAAGTCAAGTTGCAGTTTTATATTCTGCAATTTGGTTTGGACTATGACAAATGGACCTCCACCTTGTGCTACTGCCGCTAATGCAGACAGGTATCAAACTTCTCAATATAACTATCAACTTTTCAATATTTATTGTAACAGAAAAAGCACTAAACCCATAGAGGTCATACAGCACCTGGGGAATGGGAGGCACTCAGGTTCAATCCAAGGAAGGATGAGTCTTGTTTCTTGGATCAAGAGCACATCAGCGGAATCAAGGCACTTAAAGAGGGACTAACCAAGAAGTGTTGCCCACAGAGACTGCCAGCTCCAGCAGCAGGATGGTTCAACTTACAGGCAAGTAGAAATAAGGAGTACAGTGCAAGCATCTCAAATGCACAGCAATCACATTAGGATGGCCACAGCAGTGGCCACCCTAATTTAAGAATTATATTATTGATGAGGAAGCACTAAACCCACTGAGGTCATAGTGTGCCTGGCGAATGGGAGTTAAACAGTGTTGATCTGTATTATTATAATCAAGGGGGAAGCGCTAAACCCGGAGGATTATACAGTGCCTGGGGGGGGGATGTGGAAGGCATTCAGGCTTAATTCGGGGAACTGGAGCACAGATCCAATTCCCTAAATCAAGAGCCCCTCACCAACATCAAGGAATGTTGATCTGTAAAAGGGAAAGATAGTTCTAATTTCTGAATCAAGAGCCTGTCACCAGCATCAAGGCATTTCCTCTTGGAAGGATGCAGGCAAATTCAAACTGGGCGATGAGTGACAAGTTTATTTCTCGGTATTGCCTGTCAAAAATATTAAAGCCAGTCTAAAACCAGAAATGAAAGATAGATACTTAAGAAATAATTTAAATAATATAGTGAACAGTTTCATTCTTATCTTGGCAACCTGGCAGAATAATTTAGTTCACAATTCATTATTTTTTGTTCAGAGCATCACCAGTGTAAACATTTCTCACTAATAATACCTGAAGGAGACAATAGTGTATCAAGATTTTGGATAATTAAAAGCTCAATGTGAGTAAATTATATATACAGATCACACACTGTACAAAGTAAATTTACTTTATTAAAATTACAAGCACAGTAATTGCCAATGTTATTTTTCATTACTCAAATATCCAGTATTTACATTTTTAGTATTTACTAAACTGGCTACCTTAGGTGTTACAGTTTTAGCCATAGGATTACAAACACCAATATTATTGATGATGTGCTCTAAAGACCAGTGTTTACGAAGCAGTGCATGATGGAGTGTCCAGGGTCCATGGCGGATACAACGCACTTGAGTGCACACTGCTGAGGTCTTCAGTTGAAGTCCAAGGTCGTGAATAAGAAGTTTCAAATAATCACAGGTTTCATTGATGCATAACACTTCTGTAAAAAATTGGAAACAACCTTAGTTGTCAGCAAACAATATTAGAAGCTAATTTAATTCCACACACGAGATAAAATTGATGTCATGAATGAATAAGTAAAATAAAAATCTTAGATAGCTAATTAAATGAATGAAAATGTATACATACCAAGAGTAAAGCTGGGTAGATCAAAGTCAACAATACTAAGGCCATATATCATAGGGGGAGAATTCCTGGCGGGTCTGACTAGACCTTCAGAAGACAGAGCCTCATATGCCTCCTGTTATGACACAAAAAATTGATGTACATATTTGGAAAGGGGGTAAAGCAGCTGGAACTGATAGGATCATGACAGAAATGTTCAAAGCAGGAGGAGGGGGGGGGAGATATAGTGCTGGTGTGGTTGGTATTTTTGTTTAATAAATGTATGAAAAAGGGGAAGGTACCTAGGGACCTGCAGAGAGCATGTATAGCTCCTTTATATAAACAGAAGGGGGACAAAAGAGGTTGTAAAAATTATAGGGGACTGCAGATGAACAAGGCTTTAAAATGGGTGGAGGATGTGTAGATCAAGTGTTTACAATGAAGCATACATGTGAACAGTATTTAGGGAAGTTTTCACTGCATTTATGCATTTAGAAAAGGCATATGATAGAGTAGATAGGGGCAGTGGCATCGTAAGGCGGGGGAGTGGGGGTGCAAGCTGACCCGGGTGGCACCATTTACGGGGTGATGCCATATTATTATTATAATCAAGGGGGAAGCGCTAAACCCGGAGGATTATACAGCGCCTGGGGGGGGGGGATGTGGAAGGCATTCAGGCTTAATTCGGGGAACTAGGGTGATGCCATAGAGCCTCTAAAGAAGGTGACACTAATGCACAAAACAGTGCTGCAGCAACAGAAGAGAAAAATCCTTCGTTTCTACATAGCCTAGTATATGATTAGAGTACAAATAGGCCTATACATGTATAGGGAAAATCATTGATTTTGATGATGTGATAGATGATTTTGCAGGATTGAAGACAAGGAAATGTAAGATCAGATTCACTGAGATGTTACCTGTACTCAAGGTCAAATCAGAACTAGTGCTTCTCTGATATTGCAATGTTTTTCTTTATTTTTCAAGCTTTTTTTTTCTTTGCACTGTTGAAGATGAATAAATGTAGGATCTGTTGCCTGTACTCAAAGTGGTATTTGAGTTTATGTTTCCTCAATATTACTATGATTATTTATTTTATCATTAATAAAGTTGAGAAGTATTCTCCTGTTCAGTTTATGGCCCTTAAACGTTCTCACTGCTAAACATTGGTCACTGGTTGTGCAGTAGTGACATAACTGGAGTTTACCCCCCCCATCCTTGGATTTCATGAGGGTGACACCAAAGATTCTGCCCCGGGTGACACCAATCCAAGCGATACCACTGGATAGGGGAGCAATGTGGCAGATGTTGCAAGTGTATGGAATAGGTGGTAAGTTAGTGAGGCTCAGGTTAGGGTATGTAGGAGAGAGGGAGATTACTTCCCAGTAAAAGTAGGTCTTAGATGTGTAATGTTACCACTGTTGTTTAACATACGTATATTTAGATGGAGATGGGAAGTACAGTGCCTGCACTCTGAAGGAGGGGTGTTAATGTTGCAGTTTAAAAACTGTAGTGTAAAGCACCCTTCTGGCAAGACAGTGATGGAGTGAATGATGGTGAAAGTTTTTCTTTTTCGGGCCACCCTGCCTTGGTGGGAATCGGCCAGTGTGATAATAATAATAATTTAAAAGTAAATGCTAGGATGTTGGGGTGAGGGGGTGGGATTAAATTAGGGGGAACCAAATACAAAATGGGAGTTGACACAGTTACTTTTTGCTGATAATATTGTGCTTTTGGGAGATTCTAAAGAAAAGTTGCAAAGGTTAGTGGACAAGTTTGGGGGAGGGTGTGTCAAGACAGAAAGCTGAAAGTGAACATCGATAAGAGTAAGGTGATGAGGTTATCAAACAATATAAAGAAAAATTGGATATCACATTGAGGGAGGGAGTATGGAAGTGAATGTGTTCAAATATTTGGGGATTTACTGTCAGCAGATGGGCTTATGAAGGATGAAGTTAACCATAGAACTGATGAAGGAAAAAAGGTGAGTAGTGCTCTGAGGTATCTGTGGAGCCCAAAAATGTTATCCATGGAGGCAAAGAAGGGAATGTACAAGTGCATAGATGGTACCAACACTTACATGGGTGTGAAGCATGGGTTCTAAATGCTGCAGCAATGAGGAGGATGGAGGCAGTGGAGATGTAGTGTCTAAAGGCAAAGTGTAGTGTAAATATTATGCAGAGAATTCGTAGTGTGGAAATCAGGAGGAGGTATGGAGTTACTAAAAGTATTAGCCAGAGGGCTGAAGAGAGGGTTGTTGAGGTGGTTTGGCCATTTAGAGAGAACAAAATAAAGTAGAATGACTTGGCGAGTGTATCAATCTGTATGGGAAAGGTGGGGTAGGTGTCATCCTAGGAAAGGTTGGAGGGAGGTCTTGTGGGCAAGGGGCTTGAACTTCCAGCAAGCATGTGTGAGTGTGTTAGATAGGAGTGAATGGAGACAAATGGTTTTTGGGACCTGACAAGCTGTTGGAGTGTGAGCAGAGTAATATTTTGTGAAGGGATTCAGGGAAACCGGTTAGCTGGACTTGAGTCCTGGAAGTGGAAAGTACAATGCCTGCACTTTAAAGGAGAGGTTTGGGATACTGGCTGTTTGGAGTGACATCTAAACTGTTGTATCTGAGCTCATCTGCAAAGACAGTGATTATGTATGAATGATGGTGGAAGTGGTGAATGATGATGAAAGTTTTTTTTTTTTTTTTTTTTTTTGCTTTTTGGGTCACCCTGTGTTGGTGGGAAATGGCCGACATGTTAAAAAAAAAAAAATTGTATAACAATGTATTTTTCATTTCACAGCCCTCAAAGAAGATGCAATTATATCAGTGTGGGGCTCTTGGTCCAAGGAAGTGGACCTAGCCTCCCCTTCCTTGGTTTGAACCTGATTGCCTCCCATTCCCATATTATGTATGGCCCCTATGGTTTTAGCTCTTCCAATGATGATGATATTTCTCCATGGAGAAGTGGAACAGAATTCTTCCTCTGTAAGCTATGCTTGTCGAAGGAGGCGACTTAATGCCGGGAGCAATGGGCTAGTAACCCCTTCTCCTGTATTAACTACTAAAAACAAGGAAAAGAAAAACTTTATAAAACTGGGATGTTTAAATGTGTGCGGATGATAAGAAAGAAATGACTGCTAATGTTATGAATAAAAAGAAGTTGGATGTCTTAGCCCTAAGCAAAACAAAGCTGAAGGGGGTAGGGGAGCTTCAGTGGGGAGAAATAAATGGGATTAAGTCAGGAGTATCTGAGAGAGTTAGAGGTAAGGAAGGGGTAGCAATAATGTTGAAGGAACAGTTATGGAAGGAGAAGAGGGAATGTAAATGTATAAATTCAAGGATTATGTGGATTAAAATAAGGGTCAGATGTGAAAAGTGGGTCATAATAAGTGTGTATGCACCTGGAGAAGAGAGGAGTGCAGAGGAAAGAGAGATTTTGGGAGATGTTAAGCAAGTGTGTAGTAACTTTTGAGCCAAGTGAGAGAGTAATTGTGGTAGGGGACCTAAATGCTAAAGTAGTGAAGCATTTAGAGAGGGTGTGGTAGGTAAGTTTGGGGTGCCAGGTGTAAATGATAATGGGGAGCACTTGATTGAACTTTGTATATAAAGGGGTTTGGTTATAGGTAACACATATTTTAAGAAAATGAGGATAAATAAGTATACAAGACATGATAGAGGGCGTAATGACAGTAGTTTGTTGGACTACATATTGGTAGATAAAAGACTGTTGGGTAGACTTCAGGATGTACATGTTTATAGAGGGGCCACAAATATATCAGATCACTTTTTAGTTGTAGCTACTGTGAGAGTAAAAGGCAGATGGGATACAAGGAAAATGGAAGCAGCAAGTAAGAGAGAAGTGAAGGTTTATAACTAGAGGAGGAGGCAGTTAGGGTAAGATATAAACAACTGTTGGAAGACAGATGGGTTAGTGAGAATACAGGCAATGGGGTAGAAGATGTATGGGGTAAGTTTAACCCGTAAAGGGTCCAAACGTATATATACGTTTTTACCGCAAGTGCTCCAAACGTATATATACGTTTTATGTGTCATACGCTTGTAATGTATTAATGTAGTATTAGCAGGAGAGACTATGTGATGGCAGGGTTTACTGTTTTCAAGAAGACTTTTGCTAAGACTTCAGAGATAGTGAAGCTGCCTTTGTTTTGTTTAATTGTATTAAAAACAGCGATTAGTGCTGTCAAGGCACTTGCATCTGCGGAAATTAGTTTCTTTGATCACTAATTGGGCGTCCCTGAATTTCATGAGATGATTGGTGGAATTTCAGTGTTGCACGCAGGCGTTGTTCAAGTTATCGTTCCTAAATGCATGAACATGTGCATTGAGGCAGGTTTCAAGGTTTCTTGCTATTTCAACTACACAAATCCTGTTGCAACCTCCACAGGATATAGTGTAAACCCCTGCAGTAGTATTACTACTACTACTACTACAACTTACACACTGCTACTACTACTACCATTAGTATTACATCTCACTCTAAGCCTATATATACACTCTGTGTCCATGTAATGTTTGTAATGGCTTGACAAAGCTCCTGGAGAGCGAAACGTTGCCACAATAAAATGTCATTAGTTGCACTTGTGTCCTTTTACTTTACATATTGTCGGTAATTCTACCAACATATATACAATCTGTCGGACACTGCAATATGATGGACATTTCATGCAGACGTTATTTGGACACCCTTCTTCGTGCTCGCAGCTTTCGCAACAGACACAACTTCCTACAAGATTGCCTGGCCGAGAATGTGATCCATAAGTCTACTTCTACGCAACTCTCCAACTCCAAACACCCTTTCTCTCCAGCTACCCAAGCTTACTTAGCTGAATGTGCTGAAGAACTTTCTAACATTGCTAAGGAAACCTCTGAAACTGCAAGGAATATGAGAGCCATTATTCTGACTGACCACCACACTGCTGAGCATATTCTCAGCACAGTCACCACAGCCAACCTCCAACAGAAGATCAAACTCAACTGCAAACTTCAGTACTTCTGCAATAACAGTCAACGGAAGGAAATGGGACGAGAATCCCTGATAAACAACCTATCGTCATGCACCTTCACTGACCATGAGAAACAAGCACCGAGTCTGGGACTCAAATTTACCACTAACATACACAAAC